GTAAAATAGATAAAATGCCACTGCCAAATATTACATTTCCAAATTTAGTGCATATTATGAAATATTCACTGTTACACAGCCAAACATATGATAACATTCTTGATTATTAAATATTTGTGGAATCTGATGGTGGTGTAGTAATACAGATGAGAAGTGAAGATGCACATGTATCTTCTGTCCAGTAATCTTCTGATGGTCTGCTTGGACCAGTGCCATCCTAATCCATTGCACCTTTCTATGTATTCTTAGGAGAACACTGAGAGTTCCATATCATGTTCCAATTACTCCCAATTACATACTTCATTTACATACTTCAATCACTCCCCCCCCTTTTTTTCAGGGAAACACTGGCATTCTGATGGGCATGTTTTTGGTGTCCATTGTTATCTTGGTGGCTTTGATAACAGTTTTATCTGGCATTGGGATCTGTGAAAGGTGCAGCATTGGAAGTGGAGGAGTCTACTCAATGGTTTCTACCATCCTTGGAGGTCAAGTTGGAGGAACCGTTGGCCTTCTTTATATTTTTGGCCAGGTAGGAATATTCACTTTTTCGGGGGGGAAATCCCTTATTTATAAAAGTTTCCAGTTGCGTTTCTAAGTTTTGCCCAAGACATGTAGCATTTACTGAATGTTAATGTAATCTTGAATTGCACAGTAGGAGGCATATAGATGTGACATTATGAAAAGTGCACTGTGTTATGCAATAAAAATTATAGCAGTATTCGCCAGGACAGGCCAACATTAGTAGCAAGGGCTACCTTTCCTGTTTGTTTATGTGGGTTATAATTCTAAGACCATAGCATCAGACATAATTCTGATTACTAGTTCTTGCAGTGAACGAGTACAAAGAGTAGCTTTTCAAAGAGGTAACTGGCCAGGCGCATAAATTTTTCTGGAACATTGTCATATCATTGCCAAACTGGCTTTTTTTTTTTTCTTTCCCTTGCCCCTGAAGGAGGATACGGTGTTTCAACCAAAAATATGCATATAACACTGGCAAGGCTGTTGATTTGGGTTCCTCAGGGTTAGCACATATACTATTTATATTGAAAAACAGAACTTCATGCTCATTCAAGGGCATATGATTACAAGAGGTTGATCAGTAGTGTCACAGGGTTTTTCAACAAGAATTGCAACCGAATCTGTGGCTACAGTGTGGATCAGGAATAAAAGAAGAAGAAGAAGAGAAGAGATTGGATTTATACTCCGCCCTTCACTTGGAGTCTCAGAGCGGCTTACAAACTCCTTTCCCTTCCCCTCCCCACAACAGACACCCTGTGAGGTGGATGGGGCGGAGAGAACTCTGACACCAAACTGATGAATGAATGAATGAATGAATGAATGAATGAATGAATGAATGAATGAATGAATGAATGAATGAATGAATGAATGAATGAATGAATGAATGAATGAATGAATGAATGAATGAATGAATGAATGAATGAATGAATGAATGAATGAATGAATGAATGAATGAATGAATATTTCAGCACCATAACTCAAAACTATATTGCTTATGAACTGCAGTCCTAGAAGCAGTTTGCTTATTATTGCAGTCAGATACTGGGACTTTTGACCACACTGATACCCTGTCTTTTTGCCACTGAAAATCATCAAATATAAAAAAGCAGACCTTTAAATATCTTAATGAGAATGTTCTCCCAGCAATTTATCTTTACTTCTCTTCTGCTCCTGAAATCTGAAATGGTGACGCCTCTTTCAAAATAAGCATGTTCAAGATAGAATTTTTTCAGTGGTGGCACCTGTTGTTTGACTCTTCCTTTTCAAAGAAATTCACCAACAATCCCTGACCACACATTTGGGAAATCAGAGAATTCCACACATACCCCTTTCCAACAGCATTCTGAGGGTGAGGGAGACAGCTGTTTAACTGGGCTGGAAGGTATTTTATTTCCTGTAGTTAGTACTGCAGTGCAACTCCGTATCATGAGGGGTTGGCGTGATGTGGTCCATTTGTTTTTTGATTTCACACTCAAAAAATGATATACACAGCAGTGTTCCCTCTAAGCTGAGTTAGTGTGAGCTAGCTCACAGGGTTTTTTGCCTCTGGCTCACTCATTTTTGTCTTAGCTCAGGAAGGATGGCTTGGGAGCAAACTAATGTATGCAGTAGCCAAATCGCTTGCTCACAACTTTGTTGAAGGTATGTGGTATATACCTGTTGTTAAAGAGTTTCGTGGAAGACTCAAAATAAACTCACCAAATACGGTTAAGTCAAATGGTGTTTATATAACTATTAACTGGTGAATGATTAAACAATAACTTTGTATATAATAACAGATTAACATAGAGCTAACAACAGTTGTGCTCACAGACAGACCAACTGACAGAGAGTAACTGAATAACTGTCACTCTTAGAATCTCTGTGTATGACCAAGACAGTCGCGACAGCCAATCAGAGTTCAGGCTGCCTCACACAGATGAGACTGACAGAGCCTCTCTCAGTACACGCCCACATCTATCAAGCTTGAATCCTCAAGTAGTTTGCAGGCGCAATCTAACTTTATACATGTAAACATTATCTCTGCACCTGTGCCTCTATATTCATATTCTGACAAACTTTAATGCCAGGAGCTCACAAAGAAGAATTTTTGCTCAGAAGACTCCACAGCTTAGAGGGAACATTGATACACAGTCCCCTCTGGTTTTCAAAAATAGAAGAAAAAATTAATCAAATAGGGTTTTCGACTGATTACTTTCTCCAGATGGACAAAACCTCGATCTTTCAATCTATTAGACAAAGACTTTTCAACCTAGAATTAAATACTTTTCATGAACCGGGAGGGAAGCATTTTACCTGTCAACTGCTTCCGAGGAGGCTCCCGTTCCCTCTCCCGGTTCCAATACGCTTCTTTCCCGCCTTTTTTCAGCCGCGCGGGCTTTTTTTTTTTTGAACGTTCGGCTTATATCGATATATCGATATAACGCTATACCGATTCCATTGGAATACATTGGAATACTGGTATATCGATATATCGCTATAAGACGGACTTAAAAAAAAAACGTGGGGAAACAAAGCGGTGCGTGTGTAAAATGCCGAACCGCTTCTGAATCGGCTCCTTTCCGGTAGGGGCAAGCCGTGTGTGAAACGGCAGCCCTCTACCGGTTCATCTGCAAACGGAAGACTCCCGGCTTGAAACCGGGAGAAGACGGGTAATGTGAAATTCCCCACTGATACTACAATTATGGCTGCAGAATTCTTAGCCGAATCAGCCGCACTCAGATACAGTCTTTTTACATAATACGCCTATTTTATTGTCTAAATTTACTTACTGGAATTCAGTGTATCTTCTTAAATGGATTTGTGGCTCAAGTGGTTAAGACGCTGAACTGCAGGCTGTGGAAGGTTGGTAGTTCAGCAGTTCGAGACCTGGGTGCCACATGATGGAGTGAGCTCCCATCTCTAGTTCCAGCTCCTGCCAACCTAGCAGTTTGAAAGCAAGAAATTGCAAGTAGATAAATAGGTACCACTTCGGTGGGAAGGTAACAGCGTTCCATGCGCCTTGGTGTTTAGTCATGCCGGCCACATGACCACGGAAACGTCTTCGGACAGCGCTGGCTCTTCGGCTTTGAAACGGAGATGAGCACCGCAACCCTAGAGTCAGATTCGACTGGCTTTCAAGCAAGGGAACCTTTACTTTACTTACTATGCCATTAAAGGTGTCTGAATCTGAATCTAGTACCGCAGTGCTGTTATTTAAAATAAATGAAAGTGATGAATCATGGAAGCTTTTTAAAATCAAATTGTTGTTTTTATTGATGGACCTTTTTAAAGCCACTTTGAAGCACAGGTTTTTATCCATGTAAAAGTTTATAAATACTGACATAACATTTAAAATTAATGTATCTTCTGGGCTTTCCAGATTTTCTGTATATGGTTTCTCATAGTAGTTTCACTGAAACAGACTTATCTTTCAGTGTGTTGCAGGTGCTATGTACATTACTGGATTTTCTGAATCTATCTCTGAACTTCTGAGTCTCAGTAACATTTGGGCAGTGAGAGGCATCTCACTTGCTGTCCTTCTAGGCTTGCTTGCAATTAATCTTGCTGGTGTAAAATGGATAATCCGTCTCCAGCTGCTGCTACTCTTTCTACTGGCTGTTTCCACACTGGATTTTGTCATCGGATCTTTCACCCATCTAGATTCAGGTAAGGATTTTCTTGATTCCTCAAGATTGGTAAACGCTGTTGTGCTTACAAAGACCACGGTACTTCTCTGTTTCATCGCTTGCTTGAGGAGTTTCAAAGGCAAGAGGAATATGGAAGAGATTGACTTGTCATGCCATATACGTCCAGATACAGGAGTGCTGACCTAATGAAAATCAGTGTCATGAGGATGCACAAAGCATTAAATGCAGAAGCATACCTTTAGCAAAAGCATTGTTATTGTTATTATTTCTATTTATACCTCAACCTTCCCTCCAAGGCGGGCTCGATGTTTAAGGCAGCTCCTAATCGAAGGCCTGGTGGAAGAGCTCCGTCTTACAGGCCCTGTGGAACTGTGAAAGGTCCCACAGGGCCCTGATCTCCTCCAGGAGCTCATTCCACCAGTATGGAGCCACCACCAAGGAGGCCCTGGCTCTGGTTATCGCCAGCTTGACATCCTTGGGGCCTGGGAGGGCCAGCCAGTTTTGGGCCCTTGAATGTAGTGTTCTCTGGAGAACGTATGGGGAAAGGTGGTCCCTCAGGTATGCTGGACCTTGACCATAAAGGGCTTTAAAGGTCAAAACCAGCACCTTGAAGTGAATCTGGTATGCTATTGGCAGCCAGTGCAATGCTTTCAGCACCAACTGGATGTGCTCCCGCATAGAGAGGCCCATCAACAGCCTGGCTGCATCATTTTGCACCAGCTGCAGCTTCCGGATTTGGGACAAGGGCAGCCCCATGTAGAGAGCATTACAGTAGTCTAATCTCGAGGTGACCATCGCATGGATCGCTGTTGCCAAATGGTTGCATTCGAGGAAGGGAACCAACTGCCTGATCTGTCGGAGACCCCGTAGAGCCAACTGAAGCCACACTGGGTCCATTTGGCTCCACGGGCAAGCTAAAATACGCTTGCCGCTCAAACAGGGTCGAGGTGAAACATTCAAACGGTTCCTCAGGGCAAGGTGGTCCAACCATAGCACTGCCTGGGCAGTGATCCGGTCCACCGTGACTCCCGCCATAAAGACCAGATCGAGCGTGTGACCAGCCCGGGAAGTAGGAGTTGTTACATATTGGGAGAGTCCCGGTGCTGCCGTGGATGACACTAGGTCCGCTGCTTGAATGGAGCTCGCGTTGGCGGCATGGACGTTGAAACCCCCCAAGGCTATCAGTCTAAGTTGTTCAAATGCCCAGCCGGACACAGCCTCCATCAGGGACAGCAGGCTATTGGCCGGTGTGTTGGGTGGTTGGTACACCAGCCAAATCGCCAAACTCTCCTCGGCTTCCCACACTAGACCGGCACACTCTATGCCCATGATCTTCGATGGCGGGAGCACTCTGAAGGAGTAAGCCTCCCAAATGAATAGAGCCACTCCTCCCCCATGTCCCTTAGTCTGAAATTGGTGGAGGACCAAGAACCCAAGGGGGAGCCAACTGAGAGACAGCTACTGTCTCTCCTTCTTGCACCCAGGTCTCGGTCATGCACACCAGGTCTACTTTCTGCTCAAGCAGGAAGACCCGAAGGACTATGGTCTTATTATTTATAGACCTGGCGTTACACAACACCAATGTCGGAGGCGGGTCATTCATCCTAGCCCCACTGCCAGCAACCCTTGGGATGGGACGTAGGTTGGAAGGGGGCCTATGTGATGGGGTACATTAGACTTCCTTGTATGCAGTGGGTTTGTGGTTTTTTTTGCTTGTATGCAGGTAGAAAGATCAACAATATAAAAATGTCTCTGTTCCTGCAGAGGTTGAAATAGTTAAAAGATTAGGGGAGCAATCCTCAATAGGTGTGCTAAGACCTAAGGCCCATTTTATTCAGTTCTTAAGATTTCAATCTAAACATTTGAAAGTATTTAATAGATTAATTAATTAAAACTCTGATCAGAAATTAATGGGTTGACTTAGCACAAGGTAACAATTCCTTTAAAAAAAATTTATAAACAATTTTTTATTTTAAGAAAACAGACAAACAAAACATAAAAAGAGGGTATCCAAGTATTTTTACATTTCTTGTTAACAAAACTCATACCTAATTTGATCATAATTTTATCCATTACACCCTTCTATCATTATATATAGCTCTTGCAAATATATATAAAAATTGTAGTTTATATGTCCTTATAATGCTTTATGAGTCTGTAAATTTTATTTATTATAACCTTCAAGCCATTTGTAAAATCTTGACCAAGTATTTTCAAAAATTGTCTTTGGTTGTCTTTTCAGAATTGCTGTTAACTTATCCATTTCTGCAGTTTCCAACAATTTGTTTAGAATTTCTTCTCTTGAGGGCATTTCCTTACTTCAGTACTTAGCATATAAAATTCTTGCTGATGTTATTACACATAAAATAAGATAAGAGTCATGTTTTTTACAATATTCTGGTAAAACATTCAACAAAAATATTTCTGGTACAAAGGGTATGCTATTTTTTAAAACATTTTTTGTAATATTTCATGAATCCAACACCAATTTTTTTAGCGTTTTCACATAGCCACCACATATGATAAAAGGTCCCAACACTGTTTTGACATTTCCAACATACATTTGATAGATTAGCATAGAACTTTGCCAATTGTTCTGGGGTGATATACCAAATTTTGTGCCAACCTTATCATAACATTTTTAACTACTTCATCTTGAGTCTTGATGTCCAACAATAATGCATAACATTTCTTAATCAATTTCTCATCAGAGTACATCAATATCTTTTCTATTTCTATTATTTTCTCATAAAAACCTGTTGATTTGTCTTTAGTGTATCTTGATTCAACTTGTGCTTTTTCCCACCATGTAAGGTTTTCTATTGTCTTTAATTCATTTTTATTATCCAATATATCTTCATATCTTAGCAGTGAACCCTCCTGAAATAAATTAGGTTTTATAAAGGCTTCCAATGGGGCCACCCATTTTGGTATCTTGGTGTAGAGAATGGGTTTAATTTCTTCCCAAACCTTCAATGGGGAAGACCTAATAAGATGTTGTTTGAAATATTTATGGATATTTGCCTTCCCATACCATACAAAAGTGTGCCAACCTAGCAAAAGATCATGGCCTTCTAATTTCAATTGTATCCTATAAAGTAATCCAATCTTTCAACCATGTCAAGGCAGCTGCTCTGTAATACAAGAGCCAATCTGGTACAGCAAATCCAGGTCTCTTTGGTATCTTGTAGTGCTTTAAGTTTAATTGTGTTGTCAATTTATCAAGTTCTTTTAAATATCAGTCTTGGCAATATACTCATTTTAATAGTTGCAATCCTTCCCATAAAGAATATTTGAAGATTTTTCCATTTCTCCAAGTCTTTTTTAATTTCTTTTATGTGTTCCATATAATTGTTTTCCACCAAAGAGCTGCATCTATTTGATATAGTTATTCCTAAATATTTCACTTTCTTTTGAATTTCCAGGCCTGCTAGTTCTTGCAGTTGGTGGGCTTGGGTTTTAGTCATACCTTTAATAAGCATTTTTGTTTTGTTACAATTAACTTTCAATCCTGCCACCACGCCATACTCTTGCAAAGAGCCTAACAGTTGTTTAATAGAGTTCAATGGATTCTCTAAGATGAATACTAAATCGTCCTCAAAGGTGTGTAGTTTATATTCTTCCCCTCTTATTTGGAGTCCTTTAATCTGTACATCCACTCTGATCATATTGTTTAATACTTTAAGAACAAAAATAAATAACAATGGAGAAAGTGGGCAGCCTTGTCTAGTTCCCTTTTAAATATCAATATTTTGTGATGAGTCTCCATTTATTAACACCTTAGCTTGTTGTTTAGTGTAGATTGCTCTGATCATCATATAAAATTAATTACCAGACTCAGCTTCTAAAAGAACTCCAACATAAAATTCCAACTGACATTATCGAAGGCTTTTTCTGTGTCTAAAAAGATTAGAGCCAATTTTTTTGGGTGGGCTTCGAAGTATGCTATTGCATTTAATATCATTCTTACATTATTTCTAAGTTGTCTTTTAGGAAGACAACCTGCTTGATCTCTATGAATTGTTTGAGATAGGACTAGTTTCATTCTTGCAGCCAAAATGGAGACATAAATTTTGTAATCCACATTTAGTAAGAGGATGTTCTTGTAGCTTCATCACGATCATGGCCTATATAGAAATTGGCCTATAGTTCTTGATTTCTTTCTCATCTGAATTTTGTTTATGTATTAATGTTATCAAAGCTTCATTCCAAGACTCTGGGGGTTTCCCTTCAATTATTATATTTTGGATAACTGTTTTTAATGGCAATATCAATTGATCTTCAAATAGATGATAAAATTCCACAGGAAGTCCATCAGGACATGGAGTTTTTGTCTTTTTTGTTTTTTCGGTGCTTCTGTCACTTCAGCAATAGATATTGGGTCATTTGGGATTTTCCTTTGCTCTTCTGTGAATTTTTATTTTTATGATTTTCCAAATATTTTTAAATTTGGTCTTGTGTTGATTCTCTTTTCTGGTGAAGCTTTCCATAGAATAATTCCACATTTTTTTCTTCTCCCATGTCATACAGGCCAGTCAGTCTGACGTCGATACCGGGTAAATTGGTGGAAACCATTATTAAGGAAAGAATTAGTAGGCACATAGATGAACAAAACCTATTGAGGCAGACTCAACATGGGTTCTGTAAGGGAAGATCTTGTCTCACTAACCTGTTAATGTTCTTTGAGGGGGTGAACAAACATGTGGACAAGGGGGATCCAATAGATATTGTTTACCTTGACTTCCAGAAAGCTTTTGATAAAGTTCCTCATCAAAGGCTCCTAAGTAAGCTCAAAAATCATGGGATAGAAGGACAAGTCCTTTTATGGATCAAAAACTGGCTAGTTCATAGAAAACAGAGAGTGAGTGTAGGTGGGCAATTTTCTCAGTGGAGGGTGGTAAGCAGTGGGGTACCGCAGGGATCAGTACTTGGTCCACTGCTTTTTAACTTGTTCATTAATGATTTGGAGTTGGGAGTAAGCAGTGAAGTGGCTAAATTTGCGGATGATACGAAGTTGTT